CTTCACTACTAAGTTGTACATCACATCGAAAATTATGCACAGAGATATTCCGTTATCGGCTGCGTCTTGTCGACAGTTTTGCATGCAAAATAAATAACGTTATGACCGCGAGACATTTATGTGTAATATGAGATAATTTTAACATTGGTTGAGTGTAGATCAAAAAGGGTGTCCAAACAAGTATTCAACGATAGTGGTTCCAAATGGATTGTACGGAAAATGCGCGAAAACCCCCACTTAAGTGCTCCAGCGTTAAGTAAAGAAGTGCTAAAATATCTTGGAAAGGCTGGGCTGAAGTTTTCAAAGAAGCATATACACATGTGTATAAAGATGAAAGTTTCTGGGACACTGCACTTTTTGCAGACGAAAGGAAATTCAACTTGTTAAGATCAGATGAAAAGAGCTATGTATGGAGAAAACCAAATGCTGTATTACAACCGCAAAATTTACTCAGCACTGTAAACCATGGCGGCGGAGGGCATGTAATGGTATGGGGATGCATGTCGTCTTCTGAAGTTGGAAATTTGGATTTCGTCAATAGTATTGTACTATGGACAAGATTGTGTATTTAGACATTCTAAAAATAAATTTGTTGCAAAGTGCATCAAAATTAAAGATTCGTGACAAGATTCGGTATTATCACGATGATGAGAACCTGTGCGATGTGATTGAGAATCTGTGGTCAGTTTTGGAATGAGAGATTCGAAAATATGATCCGACTTAAAATAAAGCTCTACAAACAGAATGGAACAATATTGGTCATGACTACACGAAGAGGAAGTTAGTGAAATCTATGCCCAAGCGTTTGAAAGTACTATTAATTAACTTTTTTGTTACTGCATCATTTTCGCTGTGAGGTACAATTTAATAGTGATATTTGTTTTACTTATTTAATTTTTAAATAAAACTTAATAAACTATTTCTTACACAGCTGCATCACTTTGGTTATGAGCCGCTGTAGATTTTGCGAAATACTGTGCTTAGTGATAAATTATTATTATATTATGGTTATTATTCTATCTGCGCGCAGGACAGTATAAAAGGCGGGAAAAATGCAAAGGAAATTAAGTTACTTTTGTGTCGCCGATGGGATCAACACCACCGGCAAATGTAGTGTCCCTGAGGGTTTTCATCTCACGAACTCTTAATGATATTCCATTTAGGGTTTTCATCTCACTGGAAAGGGGACTAGTAAAGGATTTTCACCTCCACAGCCCATACGCGAAGTAGCGATTGTTGTAGCAAACTATTAGAAATGGTATACATACATAGGTACATATTTATATTACGAGTTGACAATATTAAATTAACTTGAATTCGTTGTAAGAAAATAGCGTGTTGCTATTTTAGGATATCCTTGGCAAGGCTGAGCGCACCCCAACCATGTTTGAAACTCTGTTACATTTCTAGCCTGTTAGATGACAGTGAAAGTGCAACACGCAAAATGGTGAACCTGGTTCCCCAAACGATGACGATGGAATAAATTATTCGGCTCCCACTTTAATGTTGACAATCACAAGGACAACGACAACTTTGAAGTCGTTGATAACTACGACTATCGTGGAACCAGTGGTAACACCAAACACCAATGTCCTTCTACTTTGGACTAAATACAAAATTAAAAAGTAAAGTCTTCTCTCGACGAACGAAGACAATACTGTACAAATCGACCATCGATATAAGTTAACGCACTAGCCTTATGTCATGGCAAGGTGAAGCAAACATTCTTGGAACTATCTTACGTCCTTCGATTTTCCCACCAAACTCCAAATCTTTCGCTACGATAACAACATGTGCATATTTTTCTTCGTAGCAACGGCAACTCTCAAATAATTCACACAACAACCAACACATTAGATAAAGTTAGATTAAGCCATCTCAGCTACATTACATTGTAAACACGGCAATAATAGTAATAACAACAGATTGCCTACAATGCAGTAGCAACAATCACCGCAACGCCAAAACTGTGCTAAGATAAGGGAATAGTAAACAGGGTTTTTATTGAGTTTGTTCTAAGTTGGATGTCAAATAATAACTAAACAAAATTTTTATCAATAAGCACATAGTGCTGAACATAAAAAAATTGGCGCCAACGTAGTTGAACCACATCATTTTATTTTGATAGTTGTAGTACTACTTTTGAGTCCTCGGGGATCAAATAATAAGTTTTCAAATTTACAAAATCAAATTCCACACCAATTATTGGCATAAATGTTCCAGTTTGGGACAAATACGACTACTTAACCCTTCGGAAAAATTTGACAAATTACCTCACTGTTTTGCGGGAGACGGAGGATATATTTCACATTTTTCCTCAATCACGGTTGACTAAAGTTCTTCAGACAGACATTGATCAAATTTATCAATTAATTGACACGGTGGGAATTTACCACAGACAAGAGCGGAGCATAAAAATTATATGATTATATGTAATTTTAAGTTAAATTTTTTTCAAAATAACGATGTAATATACTTTTTTGTTGAGTTACAAAAATACAGAAAGTATGCATCATCGTGTGACTTTTTCGGTGATACACGATGACAAAACAATCTTTTTTTGGAGACAAATACTGTTGAGGGCTATGGCAAATCAACAATTCCAGTTTCAAATTGCACGACAGTGCTATCTGCAAGTTTTTGAAGGATATAAGTGGGTGCTACATGTGTGCGACAACTATTCAACAATCATAAGGCGACATGCAAAGCTATCTATAATAGCTTTGAACCGATTATCGAAGTCTACAGTGGTTTAATAGTCATAACCGACCAGTCGAAGTTTCGGAAACGGAAGCTTCATCAGTTACTATTATATATCAATATATCTGGCACTTATTTAGTAACATTCGGTGGAGAATTTTGCATTAATGGTACGACTTTTTCCAACAAAAAAGTGAAGGCAACGCTGCGACCTGGGATTCCCTCAACACAGTTTCTCAACCTGACCAAACATTTGGCAATTTTGAGTTTACCTTATTTACGCAACATTATTTTGAGAAATCTTGAACATATTGAAAAACTACATGAAATAGTCGAAAAACAGCGATACCTAAGGCATGTTAAAGACCATCATTACAATTATGGGTGCAGTATTATTATTTTGGAGATGCAGGGTAAATAGACGCATGTAGAACACAAATGACAAGGAGAGATCGCATTAGTCTTGGAACTACTCCACGCCCGTGAGTAAGCGTGTGAATAACTCAATCTCAAATAATTCACACAACAACAAAAACCGACACATTAGATAAAGTTGCGGTGCAATATCATCATTTGCATTTCATTGAAAACCGACAATAATAATAATAACAACAACACGTGCGCTTCAACGCAGCAGCAGCAATCACAGCAACGTTAAAATTGAACAAAGCGCAAAGCGCCCACTCCTTCTAATAACTAAAATAAATACCAATTTATATGGTGCTAAAGCATGGACAAAGGCAATATCTGATGAGTCGGCGTTAGAAGTTTTCGAAAGAAAGGGTTTGCGTAAGTTTTAGGTCCCTGTACGAGTTAGGAATGGTGGATACCGCAGCCGATGGAACGATGAGATGTTACAGATAAAGACCGACATTGACATAGTTCAGCGAATCAAGAAACAGCGACTGCGCTGGCTAGGTCAAGTGGTCCGGATGGATAAGAACACTATAGCTTTCGATGCAGTACCCACCGGTGACAGCAGAGAAAATGGAAGACCTCCACTCCGTTGGCTGTACTAAGTATTAACAATTCGCAATGTTGTTAGCTCGCTTATAATCGCATAAGCGGTTACTACGCCAGTAAAAAAGAAGAAGAAGATGATGAAAGACGTGTGTATTCGATATACTCTAAAACTACTCAACCGATTTTGATCAAAATAGCCAACAAAAACTAGCTTACAAATAAATATATTATGAAAAAGATGTTAAGTTTCCGATAAAGCTTTTGTGTTAGCGTGAAAATATTTAGCCTTAAAATTTTCCACAGAATGAGTGGAAAACTAAAAAAATTAAAAGAAATTAAATTGAGCTAAAAGGTGACTATTAGGGGCATTCTCTTGACCTGGTTAACCATATCATGGTGCACGGTTGCATAAATGCTATACTGAATTACGAAAGAGTTAAAGAGCACCCTATTGCAAAACTGTAGCATATTTTATAGCAAATGGCACAGGTGATTCAAAATTCCCAAACTAACGCTGCAACTACCCATCTTACATACCGCACAGCCATAACACCCGACTGTAATAAAATATACAAACACCAGTATTTTCTGCAGGACAACCATCATTAACGGCTTTAACAAGCGGTAACAACTTTCCATTTACATGGCTCTATCATATGATAGGTTGCTATGGACGGAAGGTACATATGTAAGATGGGTAGTTGCAGCCAATAAAGAGATGTTTCGAATAAGCTTATTTAAAGTGCTGCGCACCTCCGAAAAATAAAAGTTAATTGATTTTATTATTGCAGCATCTACTTCAGATGTTTTGCATAAACATTGGGCGCTTGCGTCTGTCATTGTATCTAAGAAAGTTGAATAAAACTATTTAATTCATAAAAATGTAAGAAAGTGTATAAAACTTACGTTTCTTAATAAAATATTTCCAAAACAATAATAAGAGACAGCTGGCACAGGGTTGCATTTACTTTGGTTCACTACATTGCATAATCCATGCAATCCGTGCACCATGCTATGGTTATACAAGGTCAAGAGAATAGAGGAGTCGGTGGAGGATTCTTTTTACTATGGAGTGACTTATTGCCTAGCATAAGACAAAAAATTCCTGATGTTGTTAATGGAAGCAATGATATGCAGGCATAATTTTTTTTCAGTCAGGGATGATACGTGAATAACATTTTATGCAAAAATGAATATTTGTAAAATTTTTATAAGCACATATGTTAAGAATAAGTGATTTTGCTAGTCACTATTATTATGTAGTTTGATTTCCTGCTTTTAAAAGTTAGTCGTTTTAGTTAATTTGTTTTTTACATAAACACTCTTAATTGGATTACCTTCAGGTTCTTTTGAAATGACAGTTGTGCTGCGATCAACAATCCCTTTTTTATCCTCTACAAAAGAAAAAATTAAAAAGAATGATAAAGAAACAAATAGTAATAGTTTCTTTAAATTGTGCTTAGAGCTTATTTATAGTTTAAGTTATTAATTTTTACATGAACCTTTTGTTTTCGTATTTTATATTTTTATTATATTTATAGAGCTTTTTAGTGGTCGAATTGATTAATAAGACTTTTGTTAAATACGACTATTAAACTATTTGTCTTAAATTAAAACTAACTTAATAAAGTGAAAAGTAATGTTCTAACATAAGATAGATAGCATATTATATACAGTACGAAACTGAACATAAAAATATAACTACATATACATATTTAGATATTACTTAACTGGGGAGCTCTTATGAAGACAATTACAATAGCATTTTTTAAAAAGACATCTGTCACCTATTTACAGTAAAATGTAAAATATTCCACCATTACTATGGACTCTGATTGCGAATTTAGAAAATTATTAGTTATGAATAGTTTTTACGAAAAGTTATTATGAATAATGGTTTGTTATTTATTGGTGCCTTTCATATAACAGCGATAGTAAGCAGCATCTTTTTATTGTATTTCAACATAACTAGCCCAAGTTTTCTATAAACTTGCAGAACAGTTTAATTAGCCTGAAAAAAGTAAAAAAGAAAACGGGTAAACAAAGTAGTAATATATACACAGCGGTTTAATTGGAGTGCCGCACCGCCAACATCCGCACTATTAACTTGTGAATAATAAGCAAAAGCTTTGTAAGTTGTTACACATAAATGTATTGTAAGAACAGCATACAATTTAAATTTTAGCTCAAGATGCCTTGTAGAAGCAGTCTTTCAATTCAATAACTTACATAGATAAAGATAATGAATGAAGAGTGGGCGAACAATATTTTTGATTGTTGCTAGAACAAATCGACATCAAAATACAATCCAAAATTTTTTTTTAATAACCGCAATGGAGTCAAGGAGACGATAAATTAGTGCCCCAAACAACATATTTGGCAACTAGTACCAAATGAAATGATGAGTTGTTCAAAGTCGAAGTTACGCCACAAGGTGTACAGAAAATTTTAAAGTTTAACCTCACATATGGGTATGAACAGCTTAAACCACGCATAACAGACGATCACAAAAGGACGCATATTGCGTTCTAAGAAAAATACAAGTTCTGGGACTATGAGTTTTAAAAAGTTACATTAACTAATTAGAAACAACTTACTTTAGATGGCTCAGATGAGTAGCATAAGTCTCACATTGTCTTTGTACAAAGCCATATGTATACCTAAATATTTACAGAATTAAGCTTGTAACAATTGGAAGAAGAATGACATGAAAATGACTAAATTTTTCAGCAATATAACGATACTGTACGCCAGCTGATGAATGTAATTATAAAAAAGTGGGCCAATAAATATGTATACCCGTAAAAAAATTGACCACAACTTAAAACAAAAAACGTGATTTCATTCATTCTAAAAAAATGTACGTTTTTTTAAAATTACTATGTTTCCAACAATATATGATTGGCGGCCGCGTTAGCCAAGTGGTCTCTTCATTTGTTGGAAAAACATCATGATGCAAAACCTCAAATTGCAGGAGGAGCTCGGCCGAAAAATCGCTTCAGTGGTTCCTAAACACCAATTATATATTGTTACGATTTTACTAAATCAACCTCGATGATTTCCTAAATCCTTCGGGTACGATCTCTGGATTGTTAAATAAAACTCGCCAACTTCATTTGCAGTTTCTTTCGTAATAAAGATTTTATCTATGTCCTTTATTTACTCCGTAATACACAATTCAATTACAAGGCACTTTACTAACTACAATCACTTGCATCAACTTTCACCACTTACTCTCCTTAAATGTAATTCCCAACGCGTTTACTTTACGACTTTACCGATGTTAACGCCAACGAGCTCACTTTGTCACTAACTTGACTTGCAGCTGAGTGTCGCCTTTATATAGCAGTCGGCTGCTCGCAGACGAAAGCGTAGAAGCATCGAATTGTTCGCTATGGAAGGTTCTTGTTTTATCGTTTCTAGAATGTACTAGTTATCGGCTTCTCTCTTTCATCTGACATTCGCCTCGCATTTTCGCAACAATATGTTTATATATATGATATGTATGTGTATACAGCCATGGTCATGCAGATAGCACAACTTTCCTTCCGATACATAATAATGAAATGTGTTCATTCAGTTATTATTTAGCACAACTTTTATACAAAAACTTAACAATAATTCAATGAAAATTTTATATAATTCAAGGTTTGTGGTTCCTAATAAAATTCACTGGTCACACAAATAGCACATTTTGCAAAAACTTGTAATTTTAAGTTTAAATATACCAGATCATATACCATTATTAGTCTTAGAAGGACTTATATATTAGTATTTTGTAGTATATTCACGATTTTTAATAACAGCTTCACATCTGCGTCCCATGCTCTCAACAAGTTTCTCATATTTTTCTTTTGGTATGGAGTACCCCACTCTTCCTTGACGCTTTCCCACAAATCATCGAATTTTTTGAAAATATTTTTGTTTTACCATCGTTCCATAAATTTTCGATTGGGTTTAGGTCTGGGCTTTGCGCAGGCTAATCCAAAACACGAATATTTTCCTTCTTAAGCAAATCTTATGTGACTTTCGCGGTATGCTTAGGATCATTATTCTGCATAAAATTGCAATTTGGTGGCATGGAGTCAAATACGAATAGTTCCATTTAATTCTTTCAGATTTCCAGATATTGATATTTGTCCATTTTTTCATTTATTCGCACAATTGGTCCTACTCCATGCCAGGAAAAAGCCCCCAAAATCATGATATTCCCGAGTGCATGTTTTATGGTCTTCTTGGTGTACCTAGGATTCAAATCTTGACCTCTTTAGCGATGGAATCTTTTTCCAAAATTTAATCGCCCGGTTCTCAGGCGTCTTAGTAAGCTTTAACCGTTTTTCTGTATGCCGTTTTGACTGGAGTGGTTTTTTGCGGGTAATGCGTCCAAAGAGCTGGATCTTATTTAAACGCCTTCTGTTATGGCTTCTTAATAAAGTCAAATCGAATTCTTCGTTTATTTTCAGTATTTTTTGTCTAATTTAAAAACATCTAGCTTCATTTTCCGTTGTTTGGCTCTGTCTTCAAAAATCGCTGTCTTGCGCGGAGCAGGTGCCTTGGGTTTGTTTTGAAATAGATAATCTTCACTCTCTTGAACAATTTTAGAGAAATTATGTACTCTTTTACGGGAATAATTCAAGAAAACTGCAATTTCTGAAACACTTTTCCCAGTCTTAGCCATGTTACAAACAATGCGTAAATCAATCTGCGTAAATTTTGATAGAACTGAACTTTAAATGTTTTTAAATTCCACTGAAAATAAATAAAAAGATACTTTCAAGATCCAACCGATGACTGTGCTATTTACGTAACCAACACAAACAAATAGGTCGATCCGATAAATCGAAGAAAAAAATACGGTTGCTAAGATAACGGGAATGTACGAAACGCACTGTAAACTAGATAACATATGTAACTATTACACATTTTTTTTATTCAGAAAAATACCGTTTTTTTTCCTCAGAGGAGTTGCATTTTCTCGTATACACTTTGTGCTATTTGCGTGACCATGGCTGCATGTATATATAATATCTATTTGCTTCGAATAAAAAAGTTAAACGAATTCGATACATTTAAATAGAATTATAAAACGCAAAATAAGGGGTAAATCATAAAAAACTAAACAAAAAGCTATAGCTTACGAACATACATACGTCAATTCTACTGAAGTTTGAGTTGAGTTGCGTTGATGCGGCTTCTAATCACTACCAGCGCACTTAGACCGCCTTCACTTCCCAAATGATCAAACCATTTCGTATGCCTTATATAGGCAATAGGATTTCCACGTAGATGTTAAGGTTAAACATTGGCATAGATAGTGTTCTATGGTCTCCTCCTCTTCTTCGCCCCTATAGCTAGGGTAAACGTAATTAGAGTGATAGCTCATTCTTTTCCCATGAAGCCCATTTAAAAAATGGCAAGTTATTATGTTCATGGAGAATCGGTCTTGAATGATAAGGTCACATTACACATGGCGTCCTTTAGTAATATTTTTTTACGACGAATCCAGCGTTACCCACCCCTTGCCCGACCGACCGACAGGCGTGTCTGAGGCATAATAGAAAAATCTAACAGACTGAAAACCAGTAACAGTCTGGACCGCCGTATCCCCGAAACCGGGGGCGGAAGGTCTCGGTTACACACTAGATGATCTTAAAGGGATGTTAAAGTTAAGCTCGCTAAGTAAGAATGGGCTATTGATAACACGTTGAAAGCTAAAGCGCCTTTTGCCTTATTGGCACAGTCATTTATTTGATATCCAAAATACAACGGGCCCTATCCATTGTGACATTTGGAAAGCCATTGATGAATATGAGGAAGAGCACGGGGCGGAGGTTACTGCTTTGAGGGGCATCAGATGTTAGTTATATTTCACGTAATGTCCAATATATAAAAATTACTTTTTGTTTCCAACCAACCAAGTACGATGAAGCACCGCTTGAGGAGGAAAGGTGGAAACCCGAAATAATCGAGTTTAAAGTGAACTAAAGAATGAGAAACTTTGTCAAATGTTTTTCTGAAGTCAGTGTGATAACTTCTGTTTGATAAAAATTTTAGAAACCATTACTGAAATGCGTGGTGAATTCTGGCAGGTTCGATAGGGTAGATTTTCTTTTACAAAACTCTTGTTGTGAGATCTATATAATTCATTACACAGAATGGGCTGTGATTACCTATTGAAGATTTACTGCTAGATTTATGTAGAGGTATAATTAATGACTATTTCCACAAAGAAGGGAATAAATTTTACTTTAATCAAGCATTGAATTTCCTCGTTAATGGTATATATAGAGATTCAGCATAAAATTTAAGTACACTAGTAAGGATATGAAATTATTGAATGAGCTCTTCAGGACGTTAAGATGGTGATAAACAACATCAGCGGATATATGTGGTA